CCCAGCCTAACACAGAGTTCGTTGAGCTTACTCAACATTGGAGATTAACCGGTCAGTTTGGGGAGACCTAATGGTTTCTAGCACCTCATATACAGGAAGATATTGTTACCTTGATTTCAGTATGTCTAAATTAAGAGTTCTGAAAGGCATTCATGAGTGGCAACCTATGTGTTGGAACCAGGGATGAGGTGGCAAATTTGAACCATGGAATTATTAAGTCAAAACGGATTACTGCAGAATCATAGAAACCTTTATTAAGCAAAAACATGAGATGTAAAACTCGTGGTTCTCCATATAGCTTTCAATGATGTCTGTACACTTCTGAAGGTGGTATTTCCATCACTCTAATACCTTCTCTGAAGGATTTTGTTCTCTTGTGTTGATGCCACATGAAAACCACAGGTTTGACATCCTTGAGGCACTCCAAGTGTGTCCCTTAAGACATATGAAGGGGACAGATCAGGGCTATAGGGTGGATGAGGCAGTTTTCCAATGAAATTCTCATAGGACAGTCTTTGCTATTGTTTTTTAAATGACCTTGAAGCGCTCTTAACAACATCATGTATTTGATAAATCAACTTTCGAATTCTTAATTCCTTGGTATAACTTTCTTTCCTTTTTTCCTAAGGTTTCTCCCGCCCCACCCCCAACTAATGTAGTTTTCAGTTTTCTTAAAACTTCTTCCTTATGAGCCCCTGTGATTGAAAAATAATTTTATCCGGACTTTCTCTTCGGGCTCCCAAGCAACGTCTCCATCACCTTTCTGCCTTGAACTTTCCTGGTCCCAGAGGTCTTTCAGAAGCCACTGTTTTTGATCGGACTTTTTTGATTTTGAAGACACCCTGCAGGAAACTAAGCTCCTTAACTATCCTGAGAGAATTTATCTGCAGCTATCCGATGGTCACAGAGACCTGTTCAGACGTGTTTTCTTTGGAATACATACTGAAGCCCCAGTAGCAATACGTTTGGACTGACTCTGGGAATTTCTAACTGTTGTTGCCATCCTTGATTATACAACATGAAAACCCTATATAGAGTTTTTAAATTAGTCAAAATCAACAGGGTGTCAGTGGATTTGGGTATTAAAATAATAGCTAACATTTACTATTGAGATAGTTTATTGTGCCAGCCTGGCAGATAAACACAAGTGGGATTAACTGAAGGGCAGAGAGATAAATGGCTTTGAGAGTCTCACCTTCCTTGTCTCTCGCTCTTTGATCATTGGACCAGTGTGCGGCTGCCTTGCTTATTCTGTGCCTCAATTTAAAGGCTATACTACCTGTGGGATGCGTAGCCTGTGGACTGTGTCGCTGTAAGTTGAGGTCTCTTTAAGACATCTCTGGAGCTGGGGACTGGCAGTTGGTGACCTGGCTGGCAGTTGGTGACCTGCCTTGTGATTGGCTGCTGTGCTGACATAGCCTAGCTCTCTCTATAAATAGAGGAAGATCTGGCAGCAGACTAGACTTGAAGGACTACTAGTCTCTCACAACTCTCTCTCACCGGAGTGAGTGCATTGAGCCATTTGTAGTGCTTTATAATTTAACTGTTTTTTTCTTGTATTATATATTTATCTGTATATGATTTAACAGTTCATTTCTTGTTATATATCTAATTATCTTTATAGATAAATATATTAAATTATCAGCAACTTGGTTTTATCTCTCTAGAGGACCCTGTCTAACACAACTATGTAGCAGACCTGACATACATTATCTTGCTTAACATTCACAACAACCTTTCTTCCTTAATATCCACAATAATCTATTATTAATAGACCTTTTCACAGAAAGATGAGAACCTATCTTTTTCTTTTATTTTCTTTTTACAGTTAACTAAATGGGTACCCCAAGAGATGGAAGACTTACTCAGGATTGTGTCTAGCGGAACTAGGGTTCAAGTTGCTCGGTTTCCATCATATTATTTCCTAGTGCTGTGGAATCTAATGGGAGGGAGACTGCATTGTCGATAAAACAGCAGCAGTGAAGGTGTCAAAAGAGACCTGCCCAGCAGAGAAAGCCACCTGTTTAAAGAAGGATTGCAGGGAGACGCCAGAACCATTTGGTAAGTGTCCTAAAAGCTTCTATGATCCCTGGTTCAAACCTTTCATCCCCACTACTCCAACAAGGGCCCTGGACAAAACTACTTAAACTTAGTGAATCTGAAATAATTGTAATGAAATGGTTTCTTTTCCCAAAAGAGTTGAAACCTCCGGAAATTGAGTTATAATGTATCTTCTCTCCCTATAGTTTCTTTAATGGGAGACATCTCAGAAACTTCACCCCGTCTCACGTTTTCTTGAAGTGATTAAGTTACCATCTTCATTCTCCTCAAAAGAAAATCTCCCTTTTCGGTCCCGGGAGAGGGACTCTGAACCTTGCTGAATGCCTAGCCTAACCTTTATTTTCGTTCTACAAAATATCTTCCGGCCTTCAAGATAGCGCTCACTGAGTTTCATGTTGTTATTCCCAAACTCAGGGACTCAAATGGAGCTCAATAATGGTCCTTACCTCTCCCAAAGAGCGCCTCCTCCCATACACACAGAGCACCCTATGTTCTTCTCTTCTCTAGACCCCCCAATGAACTTGAAGACAAACCTGACTGCAATAGGAACGGCCTTTTGGGTCAATGTCTGAGGCCTCAAATGGCCTTCCTGCTTATGTATTGTTCATTACGTCGCATTATTTAGAGCTTAGATCATATGTTTCCATGACTAATTGGATGTCATTCCATGACTCATCCCTGGTGGCGTTTCCCCACCTAGTTACTAACTTTTCTTCCTTTAAAGCTTCCCTCTTACCAGTTCTTACCCAGACAGTCTCTGATCTGTTTTTGTGTAACTCCAGGTACAGTGCACCTCTCAGCCGGTCAACCAGGACAGAATTCATTTTAGTCTATATTTCTCTCCCTCCATCAATCTCAAAAACTCTTAACTGATGCTTTTGTGCAGGTGGCAGCGAATTCCCATCTTCCTGTTGTCAAAACATAGTTTTGTCTCTAAAAACAAAAACAAATAAACAAGCGAAAACACCCGCACGGCCTTTCCATTGATGCCAGCTCATAGCAAGCCCCCAGGTCCGAGAAGAAGCACCCTCCCGAGTTTCCCAGGCTGCCATCTCTACAGAAGCAGCAGGTGGAGTGGCTGCTGTGTTCCAATGACTCACTTTTCCGTTCGCAACCAAGTGCTTCACAAGTGCGCCACCAGGGCTCCCCCAAACAAAACTCAGATAAAGAAACACATACCCTAAACAAACCAACAAAGGAAAAGGAAACGCTCTTTGAAATCCAACATCCTGGTTCCTGAGCACCCTAATTTTCAACATCTCATGCCTGAGCCCTTGAATACCAGTGAGATCTACACACCTTGGCATTACTGACCAGTCAGGGTTTTTCAAAAAAGGTACCATTTTCCTAGGCACAAAGTTCAGCAGGGTTAGGAACGAAGAAGGACAGGAAACTGGAGGCGCCAGAGGAAGCGGTGGTATAACGAGGTACAGCTCCTTGCAACGAGCCAGTCTGGCTGAACCACTGAATGTGAAACTGATGATGTGCTCTGGCAACCTTCACTGAATCCACAATAGAAAGCTTAGTTTGTTTTAAATACAAATGTTTGCAACTCAACCTTCCCAATGTCTCTTGCTGAATTTATTCATAAGCATCCATTTGAAAGGACAGTTATCACCACCATTAGATTGCAAACCTCCTTCAGGGTAGGAAACTGTGTCTAACCACTAATAGGTACCCAACTATTTCTTAGAGAGTAGGGCAACCTCTGGGGGGTCAATAAAGACTTGTTGACTCACTGACTCTATAAATACAAATGGCAAAATAATCAGACATTCTGCTAGCACCTAATTTGCTCCCTGTAGGTAAGTTTGTCTCGTTGGTAGCATTGATTCTTTTAGGCCGTCAGGGTTCCAGTTAGTGAATTACAATCGCTACGTACTAACTGGTACCCTGGTGGCCTGAATGAGTTAACGGTCTCCCTAAATGAAGGACAACTCCCGGGAGAGGGACTCTGAACCTTGCTGAATGCCTAGCCTAACCTTTATTTTCGTTCTACAACAGTTTCCTGCAAGATTCCTTTGCTTTTAGGTAAGCCTTTCAATCTGTTCAGGAGGTAGAAACTCTCAAGTCACAAACAAATAGCAATACAGCTCCTTGGTAGTTAGCATTTGTAAAGGAAAGCATTGCTGAATTCCAGGGAAAGCCAAGCCAGAAATTCCCAATTGTCCTTCCAGCATTTTTCATAAGCGAGCAGCTTTCCAACAGATCCAGCTGTCAACAGGGCCTCCTACTGTTTGACTCGCGTTCAGAATTAGTTTCTATATGCACCGTAATTTGCAAAACATTTGTGCAAAAGAGTAGAGGAGCATGTAGAACAGTCCCTTGGGCATGCCTTCCTAAGGTTAGGGCTCCCAAAGCGTTTCTGGTATTGGAGCGATCTCGACCAAACCACGATCCTCGTGTGGCTGTTAGAAAACCACCACAGAATCAAGGTCCTGGATGATTTCCTTCAACCCCAGCAGGGAATCTTTGTTTTGGATCCTGAGGAATCTGGTGTCTGAAGCGAGCTAAGCATTACAAGCAGAGGGGGAGGGGGGGAAAGGAAAATGAGCCGATTCCAGGAACCCAAGAGGAAAGCGAATTTTGAGAATGATGAGGGCAACAAATGTATAAGTGTGCTTTACACAATTGATGTATGTATTGTGATGAATTGTACGAGCCCCAATAAAATTATTAAAAAAAAATATATATATATATGTAAGCCACTGGATTGTATAGTGTATGAACTATATATAGGTCAATAAAGGGGTTAAAAAAAAGATTGGGAAATGAGGTCACAATAAAAAAGGAAGAAACAGAAAATTAAAAAAAAGAATTACAAGCAGAGTCAGAAGGAGAGGTTGAGTTGTCTGGCCTGTCAGGATGCCCAGTTCCCAGTTCCCATAACGGAATCAAGATGCTTACAAATGCAAGAGATTTTTGAGCACTTCTCATCTTGCTCCAACACATCTGCCATTCAGGGGACATTGTCAGAAAAGCAACGCCGTGCCCTGCTCACACCTCTCCCTCGTGACTGCAGAAGGTGCTGATTGCCTGGTCCTCCCTCCTTCCATGGGCCCCTCTTGTGTACCCCTCAAAAAAGGCATCGGCACTGGCTGCAGAGCCAAGGAAGCCCAGTTACTCCCAAAGCCACCCCCTTCATCCGGCTGGGGGTTTCTGTGACCTGTGTGCTTTAGCTGACGATTTCCTCAGGCTCTGTGCAAACTTCAAGGATGTCTCAGTTGTTGCCCACTCGGCATCTTTTTGTTTTCACGTGTCTTTCTTACCAGTGTGACCTGCCCTCTGCTGCTCCTTGGGACCCTCAGCCAAAGAAGATGCTTTCTGGTCACACTGGGCTGATCCCAGGAAACTGCAAACAGCACCCGACTGAATGCTCAACGCCGTTTCTTTGAAACCTCTATTTATGTCTTCCCCAATGCTGGGTTGCTGCACACCGTGAGCCGATTCCAAATCACACTCTCAATGTCAAGTAAATCCGCCCAAGAGGGCTTCCTTGGCTTCTGGAGCAGCTGATGGGTTTGAACTGCTCACATCTGTGCTCTTGACAATCATGCCAACAAGTCTTGCCCCTCTCCCCCCGCCAATGCTTGTAGTTACTAGAAGAACCCTGGTGACCCAGGTTCAACTCAGTTGCTAACGAAAGCACCTGTGATTTGAACCCACCAGCCGCTCCAGGGGTGAAAGATGTGCCAGTCTGCGCACATAAAGATATACTGCCTCATAAACTTTAAAGGGGCAGTTCCCCTCTGTCTTACAGGCTCATTATGAATGGAAATCAATTCGACAGTGGTGGTTTAAGAATTGTTTTATTGCTGTTAGGTGCCTTCAAGTCGAGTTCAATTCATAGAGGCCCTTTGAGAGTCTCTGAGCCTGTCAATCGTTATGGGAGCAGACAGCCTCAGCTGGGGGCTTTGAACCACCAACCTGTAGATGTGCAGCCCGGTGTCCAACCCCCAGTGCCACATCGTTGTGAATATTTTAGATTCTCTCTCTGAAACGCTAATCTTAAAGATCATGGATTTAATGTTCTTTGCCTTTATGTCTACCCTCTTGCATGGAGAGCCGGGCATAGAGCAATTCTCCATCAACGGTAATAATAATGTTAGTTTTGTAGGGTGATTATTAGGAAATGTTGATATTCAGAAGTTTCTATCAGTATCATCGTATTAGGTCTTACAATTAGGACATTCCTTTGGGGGATATTTGTAGACTATTTGGACAATTTATAAATCCTTCTCTCTGTCCAATACTAAGCAATTGCATGTTAAAATAAAGGGGTTGAGATGACTAGTCTGGCTTAAAATATTGCTGTCTTAGAAACCACTGCAATATGAACACGCCAGTCTCATTTTTAGCTGTCATTTTCGCCATGATCCTAAAGTAAACCTTGACTTCAGAAGACAATGCTGTAAGCAAAAGTCAAGGGTCTGGACCAATGGTTCCTCCATTATTTTTGACTTGTCCTTGAGCACCGGCCAGGGATTGGACATGTCAGCAGATGAATTTGCTGAAGTGGTTGACTTACATATTTTTAATATGCAACCAATAAGCAAGGTGAGATGTTAACTTAGTGAATAAAATTAGATCTCCTCTTCTAAACTCATATAGGACAGAATGTTTTTGAAACAAGGACCTGGCAAGAAACTGGGATGATCCAATGTGCCCATTACTTCTATTGGAAAAAAATACACCACGATGAAGAAGTGTCCCTGGTGTGATTTTCATTTGATCAGACACTCAAGACTCCTTAAATATACACTGTGGTAGCCATTCTCTCTGAATGAACGTGTTCTTTTTAAATTTTTGTTTCTTTGTTCTAAATCTCATCTCTGGATTTTTCTCTTTTAGGCATGCTAAATGTAAGTGTAAAAAAGAACCCCAACTCCAAAATAATAGGTGGAAGAAGCAAAAATATAGGATGATTATTACAAGACTACATCATATTTTATATAAAGGCTGAGTCTCAGCAATTTATTTGGCTGTGTCTGGGTGCTTGC